AAAAGTAAGAGCTAATTCTCTTTAACTTTTACTACACTTTAAATATTTTAAATTTTGTATTATACTTATGTATTTGAACAATACAAACTTGTAATATAGACATTACAATGTATGCAATAATACAATTCACACAATTGTATTTGCATTCATCTATAATTTTATTTTATACGTACATCCTATTTTTGTTTGAAATATTTAAAAACATGTCATAAATTATTAAATCACATATACCAAATAATATATTATTCATTGTTATTTTATGTTGATATCATAACCAAAGTGCGTCGTTCTTACAAAGAACTCAAAAGTGGTTGTTTATATTTTCATAATGTTGTTTTTATATTTCAAGAATACAAGTTAAGAATCAAGTGTTTAAATAATTGTGTTTAATATTTACCTTGTGCGTATATGTTGTCCCTTTTTAACAAAGTCAATCGTAACTAAAAACGCATTAGAAATTTTTTCAGTCTCATTTCCCCCACACCATGGACATGGAAATATACAGTCAAATGGTAAGTATGATATTACACTGCTAATAAAGATAGGGGTGACTAGTTTCGCGCCCAAATTTAAGTATACACTGTTTAATTATTCTATGCTGCTAATTGTAATAAATTATGAACCATAAATAATGCTGGTGTAAATATGATGATAATTCATAATTTTTTACAATCAGCGCAATACAACACGTGTAAAATCTGAATTAAATTGAATCTAGGCGCCAATCCTAGGGGTTTTCCTCTCAAACAAAAATTACCCCTGTAAATCGCACCCAATGTTTCTATATTTTTATTCTACATTCATGAAAGTCGTACCTAAGTTTCAGTGATGGCGCTGCCTTCAATCACGTGAAAAATCTCTGATTGGTTCATTTTCAGGCGCTGGCATCCCTAAAAAGGTCATATCATCTTATTCAAATTTTAAATTGAGAAAACAATAAATCCAATTTATTGAAGATGGAAATCAATATTTTTATTAAGTAAAACAATCTAAAAATTCTACTGCAGTTTAAAACATCCTATAATAATTTGCAACACGACAAATCATAACCTGTACGAATCTTTTAAAGCTTCAATTTTTCATGTAAGCTCGCAATCGAGTTAATTTCGATATAACAGCGGAATTCCTATTGGTTGATCAGCGTCGATACGATGAAGCGCAACGCATGCGCCCTGAACGCTTCGGGGAGTTTCGACAAGGTTCGGGCACGTTCGCAGCTTCGTAAAAGACAGTGCACTTGAGAAAGCCCGTCGAAGGCTGTCTCGACGTGTATGTTTTGAACAGTTCGCACCATGTTAATGAGTTTCCTCCAAGTTTTTATTAAAAGTTCATGTGGTGCGTTCAGTATACGAAAGAAAGCTACTAGTGCGAGACATTTACCCTCTTGATCGAGTATTTTTGTTAGTATCAATTGTGCAATAAGGAAGGTGAAGAACGATGCCAGGCAAAGGGAGTAGAAGAGGAAAATCCGGTAAGAACTGCTTTGTCATTTTTTTATATTTAATTTTTTGCGTGTCACTTTATGCCACGATCGTCGTGAAAAATTTTGATATGAAACACGTGGATATTACGCTTGATTAAATTATTGGCCTTCACGATGAATGAGTCATCCTGCATATAAATCTTATTTGTTTCGTCTTACGTCACAAATACGTTCGTCCGAATAAAGGATTTCCCTTTAACCGTCGGTATTTACACGATATTTCATTTATTTCATGACCAGGAAACCGTATATTGATTTATGGCAAGTATCTTTAGATATATTGAAGCGAGCTAGGCATCGCGTCAGTACCACCTATCCCCATGTGACTTTCATGCTTTTCGCACATGGGTCTCTGCGTTAGACGGAGAAAAGGCGGATGAAGAAAATTAAATGTATTCAACGTTCCAAGCAAATTCGCTGTTAAAATTTTGATCACTAGGTACACGAGAAGAAAAATTTTTTTTAAATTATATTTTTTCTTGTCGAGACAAAGAATCTCAAGATTTCGTGTCGCTTGCAATTTTCTTATGTTGCTTGTACGAAACAAAGGTTAGGTAGTGGAACCATTCTCCTCGCAACGACCAATCACGGTTTTTTCACTAAATTTAGATCGTCTTATGTAGCCTACGATCGAATCTTTATTATTTAATGAACCTGAATGAAAAAAGTTTAACAATGTTTCACTGCGATGCATTTACAGAAACAAGTAACGCTTTGTGCGTATGAATGACTGTAATCAATTATTTCGAACGAACAAAAAGGTGTTATAAAATCTGAAATATTAATTATGTTAATATCTTTTAGTTTTGTATTGGTTACTTAATAAATTCATATTTATATATATGTATGTATGTATAATAATATAATTAAGAAAATATAATTTAGTTTAAGAAATACAATATTAGCATTTTAAATGCCTTTATGAAAGGAACTTTGCAGTTGCATGTATTGTGTAATATGAAGTAATAATTTTATTCTTGTTATTTTCGTAAATGACAAATTGTATAAATAGTTATTGATTTAATGAATAGATTTCTGGTTTCTTTGTAATATTATTATCTTGCGTAATATCTCACATATGGTAGAGTTATGTTAGATGTCAAGTGTAGCAGCTGTTTACATTATGTAACATGACATTCACTTTAAACAGCTGTCACCTTTTCCTTTCGCTAAATGTCCAAGTTACATGGAAATATTAATTACTCTGTGTTTAACTGTTAATTACTATTTCCATTAAGTTACATTTATATTTTGTACATAATTCAATTTTATTTTTTAATTTTTGAATATTTTTAATTGTTTAAATTCTTTTTACAACTGCCATATGTATTAATAAAATATAATTACAAATGCACAGAAAAAATAAATAGTAAGAACATTGTTAGAAAAGAATTGTTTCTTTTACAGGGCACAGTGGGAAAAGGGCCGAATTAACATCTGATGAAGACTCAGTTAGTAATGATGCATGCAGCATATCCAGCAGTCAATCCGATAATCGTAGCATGTTGGATGATGTGAATGATAATGAAGTAGATGAGTTTGCACAGCAAGAAGCATTTGAAGAAAAATTGAAAGAAGCGATAGATGGTTTAACACAACGAAGCGCAAAGGGTCGAACAGTTTGTTTTAATGGAATTGAAAAGATATTTGCTATTAAATATGTCCCAGATTTTGTGGAAGATAGAAAAATGACTATCACAGACTCCATAGAACGAGGTCTAAAGAAGGGGCGTGGAGAAGAACAGTCAACAGCAGCTAGATTGAGTACTTTACTTTGTGTTCAATTGGGAGCATTTGAAAGCGCTGAAACTGTTTGCAAGGATTTAAAGAATACATTGACTTTCATAATTAACGACACGTCAGCATCGATGCAAGCTCGATCTGAGGTAAAAAATAAATAATACTTAATAATTAACTTATAAATTCATGCACATATAATAAAAATTATGTTCTACAGTGTTGTTGGGCCTTGAGCATGAATCAGTTTTTATCGGGTAACGATGCTGCTGACACATTCGAAATCGTACAATTACTGTCTGGCATTTTTTCTGGTTCCTACTTAAAAGGGAATGGGGCAGTACCAATTATTTCATCTGAAGTCGCAGCATTGCACGCGGCAGCTATCTCGTCTTGGACTCTTCTTTTAACAGTTATGACTCCAGCTGATATATACAATTTCATTGCAAGTGATAGACCTAACAACTATATGCCGTGAGTATTATAAATATATACTTATTTAAATAGAAACATATGTGACTTTTAATATGAAATGATAACAATACTGATATATTGTTTGCAGATCTTTAAACAGATTACGAGAATTATTGGAATCGCCACATTTGGACGTGCGATTATCAGCTGGAGAAGCTCTTGCTGTAATATTCGAACTTGGTAGGGGCTTCTGCTGTGATTACGAACAAAATTGGTCATTGGATTTGGTTGAAGTTCTAAAAGAATTAGCCACAGACTCTAACAAATACAGGGCAAAGAAAGACCGCAAGCAACAAAGAGCCAATTTCAGGGATATTCTTCGTTACATCGAAGTTAGTTGAAAAACGGCAGCACAAACATTATATACAAAAATTCACTATATCAATATTAATTACCACTGTTATACTCATTTTTAGGAAGATACTGTGTCGGAGATGCACGTAAAATTCGGCCAAGAAATTCTATATTTAGAAGGATGGTGTGCACGAACTCAATATAACGCATGCTGTAGATTATTAGGCCCAGGTATTAATATTCATCTTGCAGATAATCAATTGCTACGAGAAATTTTCCATCTTGGTAACAAAGTTTTACCTGTCAAATTGAATCAAAAAACTACCAAATTGGAAAGAGTAAGTTCATTTTCATAATAGTGTGTAATTAATCGTTACGAATAATACATGTAATAATACATATTTTAAATTTGCTTTGCTTTATTTACAGACATTAATGAACGCAGCTGCATTTAAGGCTCGCACCATTCAACGCAATAAGAACAGAGATAAACGATCCGCAGCCTTGGCACCGTAATTCTTCAACTTTCTGCTTTTATACATTAGATAACTTAATTTAGGATAATGAAAAATCAAATATGCCTTTTATTTATTACAACTGTTCAGTAATAAGAAACTATTAATTATTGGGTTCCCATAATGGACTAGAAGTTGTACACTGAAATAGTCATGGACAAAACAAAGTATAGTTAAATTTCGTTTTATACGATACAATTGAAATGTCTTTTTTAAATCTGTTATCAGTTAGTTAAAAATAATGCTTTACCGTGTTATTTAATGTTACTTACGTCTGTATGTATGAAACTAAATTGTATATATACTATGAACACTTGGTACGATAACAAGTTATGTTGTTTATATACGTAATAAAATTATTAGTATCAGTTAATTGTTTTGTAAAGTTTAACGGGATAAATGCATTTTTATAATGCAAGAAATAGTGACTTTTGCTAGTTTTAATCGACTTATTGAACATATTTTTATCTTTCATAAGGACACGTTTTATTTGAAAAGTATGTAAAATCATATACTATATTTAATCATTCTTATGATTATATCTTGATGATAACGTCTCATTAAGTGTAATGACTTAAATAAGTTGTGTCATTAAAACTCTATAGAGGCATTGTACATAATTACATAAGTCATGATATAGCATAGGATTCTTCATTTTATCACATAATAAAGTACAGCAAAATACTTGCATCTTTCGTAATTTTATTACATAACAATCCATATATGCTTATAAATAATTCATCTCCTATACATTTATATTTACATCACAGCTGGGTCAAATAGGTGTAAGTCATTGCACTAACTTGTGTCGTATAATTGTGTACACAAAATTGTTTATATACACGTAGTTCGTAAAAGCATACAATTATTTATATAAAAAAATTTGTAGTGCTGAGTAAATTTATCTTAAAAGCAAAATCTGCGATCATATGCAATGGTTATAAGTGCAACTTCAATGTTTGATTTTTAAATTCTTTTTCAGACAACATATGCCATCTGTAATTTAATATTTTCGAAACCTCTCTCTCTGTATCCTCGTAGCTGCGACTATTCGTTTTAATCCATTGGTAGTGTTCCGGTGACCAATTCATTATCTTTAACCAATCCCTATCGCACCTTTTCAATACTGCGTTTCGTCGAACATAGAAACATCGTAAGGCCTTAGCGGTAGAGACAATTTCTAAAATTGTTGCCGTCGATATCTTATCTCGGATCATCTGTACAGAAATATTTTTTTACGTGTAAAACTTCAGCAAATCATTCGTTTCGATTAATAAAGTCTTTTTCTCAAATTCAGTAGTTAGTTACTTCTCTATCATATTCGTGTTAACTGTAATAGGAGAAAATACAAAATATTAGGGAAACCAGTCGGTGTAAACAATTTGCATAAGATTTACTTTGAATATTTGGCTTTGTTAGTTTGTCAATGATTCAGTCCTCAGCCAACTTATCAAATGTGTCATGGTGAAATATTTTCCTCCCACTGACTGGCTTCCAAGTCATTGATACAATAATCGTTCTCTATATAAACTTGTTGCCTTGTATACTATTCACAGATCATCGATTGCCACACAACATATGTTCTTAAATAGATCTCTAAAAAGTTCAAGATGTAGCTTTAATATCATAAACGTATTCTCTAAAAATCTTGTTATAAAAATTAGGTTACAGTTCAGTTAGAAAGAACTTACACAAATACCAATAAAAGCCTTTCGTACAATAAGAATCTGAACGCATGCCATCACACCATAAGAAGGTTGTTAGAATCTTAGTTTTTTTAGGAAAGTTATCATAGATTACATTGGAAGCTTGTTCAAACACAAAATGCTACCAGCGTGTGGAGGTTTGGACACATTCTGCAAAATTGTACTAATGCTTCATCCAATCTTCGTGCAAAGTTTCTGTGCAAAAAGTATCTTGTTAGCCCTTTGAATGCATACACCTTTATCGTTGATTCAAAAAACGTTCCATGAGTAAGAATAGTGGCTGATGAAATCTGCAATATTGTTTAAATATTAGATTGTAAATTAGTATTATTATGTAGCGTACACTAACCTGCGTATTTGGATTATCCAAAATGATGCTGTGACATGGAATACCACTATGCTCCAATAAATCAATAGGTAAAAGTATATCAGTCGGTTTAAAGCTTTCCACTTCGAAATGAACTTTAAGATACGGATTATTCTTTTTCATTTTTATCCAACATGATCTTTTAGGCTGAATTAGATAAATTTTGGAAATGAGATAAGAAATTTAAAAGAGTAAAGTTTAAAGCAATAGCAATTACCAATCTCATTGTTGTATCCTTTGGACTATATCGATTTTGGACAATATGAAGATGTTCCAATTTAGTATAACCAATTAAGTCTATTACATCTTCATGAAGATTTTGAGGACTAATAATCAACACCTTCGCAAAAGAATCAAATATTTTAAGCTAAGAAATTGAATCTATTTCACCAAAGTTCTTTGCTACATAAAACTTACATTTAAATTAATAAATACTCCAACATGAAGAAGAGGACAATAGTACCTTGTGGTATTTATTAATACCAATTTAGATAATGTTTGCGTACAGTTTGCGCAAATATCATCCATTAAATGTAAAGCTTCTTTACTGTCCAACATAAGATCTATTAATTCTAAACATCTTATGTTACATAAATTACGCATAAGTCTTTTTAATGCTTCTAACAATTTTCCACCAGTGCCAAAAAGCCTGATGCGATCAGGATCATCCCTATTTGCCATATTACAAGGAAATGTAAATTTCAGTCGTCTAATATAAGTACCAACACCTGCTACCGATGTATTATCTGATCCTTGTCGTTCGGTATACCAAGATATCATATTCATGAATTCATAAAGATTATAAAAGTTTAACATGGGTTCAAAGATCAATGTTCGAAAATTTTTTCCAACTTTATTTAAACATGTAGAGGTCCTCATATGATCCAAAACATATTGCCAACCACTATAGTAATTAAACTTGCCCCGGGTGAGTGTGGTATCCTCTAATGTAAAAGTAGCCCAAACATTTTGCAATTTAAAAGCGCGATACCATGACCTACACACCAACGATGCATAATAACGTTCACGAATAGTTAGATATGAAAAAATTTCCTCTAAGAGTATATCGGGTGTTTGATTCCAGTAACTGTATACTTTCTTTTCTTTCTCTTCTTCGGTTTCTTCGTCGTCGATGTCGATGTACAATGCTACGAGAAATTTATATTAAAACACACGGTATAAGATACTTATTCGAAATGTATATTATGTTACAACGTCTAGTCTTTCACCGGTAAATGTACCGGTAACGTATGAAACGTAATTACAGAATAAATATGTCTATAATCCTATTCTTTCTGACATTTAACATTTTATAACCTATAATATTTTGTCTGCTTACCTCTATCCTCGTCATCGAATTTCCAACAACCCTTGCTCATTTTCGTAGTGAACTGTCGTTGATATCTTGTCAAAATACAATAACTGTACGCCCGTGACAAAGTATTTCTATGCAATATTACTAAAAATATACTAAAGTAGGAAGGGGACGACGCAACCCACCGAACAACTCCATGCTGTAGTCCGTGATAGGATATTCTTAGATTTAATCGTCATGAACTCTATATTTTTGTACCGGTGAAATTTTTGGATATTATTTGAATCAACCAATCAAACATTATCAATATCAATCATAGACTACAAAAAACACTGAGTGCGATCAATATTGAACAGTATGACTGCATATGAAATCTGTTATACATAAGTAAATGCTTAACTACTCTTGCATGTATGAAAATTTAAATGTTTGCATTTAAATATCAATTAAATAAATTAACGAAGACAATGATTTTAAGCAGAAATATATTTACTGTGAAACGATTAGTACAAAATATCAGGTTAGTGACAAAATATTGTGTTTTATCATTAAATAATCAAAAAATTTCATTGTTTACAGAAAGTTCCATTGTTCGCAAAAATGTGGATCATACGAAGGGTCTGGGAAAACTAGAGGTGAAGTTATTAATATTAATCCTGGTCCCAGGCTTTTTATAAAAGAAGTTTCACAGGTATAAAATAATAGAGATTATGTATTTATGGCATACACATTTATTTAACTTTTACTTCAATTTAATGAGATAATTATTTCATATACATTTTGGAATTTTTAACACAGTTATTAGGTCGTGTAATAGAAATGTCGGATTTTTCTTACTGATATATGTTTGTACTCCTGTTGTTATTATTCTTTTGTTTTTCATATAACCTCTTAAACAGTTTCATTGTCGATCATCAGGTTAACTTTTTGCAAAAAAGGGTTTCTGAATTGTATATAATAAATATTTTTTGCATCTGTTTTTGAAAACATCGATACTGCTAACATTCGTGCAATTTTCTTATATGAATTAATGCTGCAAAAACTTGGAAATAATGCTGCAAAAACCGCTCAAAATATAAACAAAGCATTTGGGGACAATACTGTAAATGAAAGAACAGTGCAACATTGATTTTTAAACTTGAAATGATAGTTTATAACGATGTCCTCAGAATTTATTAATTTTATACATTCAGAATTTTTCAAGAAAGTAATGAATTGTATTGTACACCGGCAGAAATGTATTGAATCGAATAGAGCATATTTTAATTGAATAAATGTCTTTTATAACATCAAATAAGGTTTCCTTTTTTCCTCAAAATCCAACAGTTCATATTACAGACCTAATAATAAGTTTTCATTTAAATCTTCATAGAAATCAATCCCTGTATAAATATCAATGGTTTAGTTCTATATTAAATTTATATGAATAATTGATTTCTAATTTTATATTTCATGTTTTACAGATAGGGTTTGTGCTTAACGATAATTCAAAAATCATTGGTCCTCTTGCAATTTTTCCAAGAAGTGCATTCTGTTGGAACATCCCATCTGGAGAACACATAAATGAGAAAACATTGTCTTTATTCTTTACTATTGAACCCAAACTGGATCTGTTAATATTAGGTCTCGAAAGGAAATATGAACATAAAGAAATTATGGAATTAAAGAAGATGTTAGCAAGAGAGGGCATGAATACTGAAATATGTAGTGTAGAACAAGCATGTGGTCTTTATAATTTAATATGTGATGAGGGTAGGTTTGTTGCAGCAGGTCTTATACCGCCAGTAGATGTAAAATTACCAGTAGTGTCAAATTCATAAACCAAAGATAATATAAAATAGTTGGCGTTAGGTGAAAAATAAACATTATCTTATTGTATATAAAAACGTAGAAAATAGATCTTATTATTAATGTGTTCATGGAGAATATAAATTCTCTACAATGTTAAAGTTCACATAATAAAAAGAGAGTAATAAATTGAATTTTACATATTTCATGTATTTTATATACTAAATTATTCAAAAAGTGATCATTATTTTATTTACATAAAATAAATGCTATTTTTTCTATTAGTCTAGTAAAAATTATTTCATTCATTATTTTAATACGTAAGTTATCGCACGTGGCGCTGTCTAATACTAACATAACCTATAAACGCTAAATGTGATCACATGTGACGCAGAAAACATTCGTAAATGTGACATACGTTGCCCATACCTGTAATTTTTATTAGAAACTATAAAGGTAAATTTTGTGTAAAATAAAAATAATTGTGATTAATTATAATCTGTAACATAACATTAAATATCCTTTTAGATGACATTAAAAAATTTTCCCAGGGGAGGAAAAAAGGTTCAAGAGAAGAAACCATCAACTTCGGTAAATTTAGTATAAATTAAAGTGCTTATTATACACACATCCATTCATTATTTAAATTATATCGTATTTTTGTTCTAACAGATACGAAAAAAATATGAAAAGGTTAAAAAAAGGAAACAAGAAAGGGGAAGCGTTAGAAAAAATGATGGGGAGGAAGAAAATTTTGTTGCTAATACTGCAGAACGTTTATCATATACAACGATATGTGAAGGATTAGTAGTGTTAGGGCGTATCTTTGAAATAACAGAATATGATTTACTTATATCTATACCTGGTGGTTTGATAGGTCGTGCTCAAGTTACAGACATTAGCGAATCATACACAAATTTATTGCAAAGTTTAATTAAATGTAAGGATGATCAGCCAAGTGAATTTAAACCATTATCCGAATTATATTCTTGTGGAGATCAAGTTGTGTGCTACATAAAAAGTATACAACCTCAAGAAAAGTGGCAAATTATGTTATCACTTGAACCTAAATTAATAAATCAAAATTTGAATATCGACTACTTGAGTAATGGCATGAAAGTGATATGTACTGTTAGCAGTATAGAGGACCATGGTTGTATCGTAGATATAGGTTTAACAAATGTAAGGGGATTTGTACCTTTGAAAGATTATACTGCACAACAATCCTTGTCACCAGGTAAACAACTTCTGTGTCACATAAAGGAGATTAAGACAAGTGAGAATACATCAACTATTAAATTATCAGCAAAATTGGGATTAGTCGAAGCAATAAGTAATATTGAAATTAAATCATTGGATAGCTTAATGCCAGGAACAAACTTTAACTTACATGTGAAAAAGACACTTTCTAATGGATTGTGTGTTTCCTTTGGTAATAATCATGTAGGTTATATAAATCAACTCTATTTAAAGGAACCCTTATCCAAATATTCGAAGGGAATGAAAATTACTGGTAAATTACTTTACATTTTACCAACTGTGAAATTTGGATACTTTAGTTTATTAGCAAATAAACCTAAAGATAATTCTATAAAACCAGGAGATATTATAGAAGAAGCAACTGTCTTATTTAGAGAATCTGCAGGAATTGTATTACAATTAACAAAAACCGGGGTCCGAGGATTTTTACCATTGAAAAGAACAAATTTTCGCTATGATAAAATTCTTGAAAAATTTGCACCTGGTAGCATACATAAGTGTAGAGTGATATCGTATTGCTGGATGGATGGTACTTATGTTTGTTCTATGCAGCATTCGTTAATGCAAGAAAGATATTTTTCACTCTTAGAGTTTAAACCAGGTGACTTGGTAAATGTGAAAATTACAAATATAAATATGGAAAATGGTTTTATCGATGTTCAAGCTGGTAAAATTGTTGGCCATATTACGTCGGATCATATATCAGATGCAGGAATAAGCGCTTTAAAAGAATTTAAAGTTGGTCAAGAAGTTGAAGGAAAAGTGTTAGCCATTAGTAATACACGGAAAAAAGTATATCTTACATTAAAGAAATCACTTTTATCAAGCGATCTACCTATATTATATGATATTGAAATGGCAAATAAAGGGTCCATACACCATGGTACCATTATTAAAATAAATAAAGGTGGTATAATGGTAAAATTTTTTGGTGAGTTAAGAGGTTGGATTCCCTATTTTGCGTTGGACAAACAAGCATCTGCTGAAAATTGGAATTATTCTATTGGACAAACGATTATGGTTCAGATCGAATCGGTAGACAAAAATTCTGGAAGAATAGATTTAAGCATACCAACTAAGAGAACAATAATAAAAGAAGAAAAGTTTGAAATTGGGGAACACGTCGAAGGAACAATTACAGAATCATCTATCGAAGGTGTATATTTGAGAATAAGTAAAAACGATGGACAAACTGTTAGTACAGGATTTTTACCTGCTGGACATATGTCGCCCTGTATGAAAATTGCTGCTTTATTAGCATCGAAATGTATTCCTGGAGATACCCTGTCTGCCTTAGTGTTTGCCACAGAACCTAGTTTAATTTTAACTAGAACTTTTTTACTTGAAGAAAATTGTAGACAGTTTGATCAATTAAAAGTAGGTAACTCTATACCTTGTTCGATTAGAGACATAGAACCGGATGGTATAAGAGTTATATTACCCATTAAGGGATGCTCACCATTCGGATATGTCTCGTACAGTAATGTCAGTCATTTTAATATGTTGCACAGGCATCAAATTTTATTTGCGAAAATTACCTCCATTAACAGAAAAGATAAGCTACTAGGTTTGTCATTAACATTGAAAAAAATATTTGACGAACTAACCGATCCTACAAGTAGAATGATGGTATCGATAGATGCTTTACATTTATACTTTAATAAATTAGCAGAATTAGCCAAAAATCCTTACTATGAAAATAGACCCATCTCATCAGTTGCTTTAGGACAGAAAGTAGTAGGAAAAGTTGCACAAATTACTGACGCTGGTATTGTAGTTCAATTAGAAAACAATTTGTTAGGAGCAATACGGAAAGATCATTGTGCTGGGAGTCCAAAAGTAGGAGATACAGTCTCTGCAACAATTCTCTGGAAGGATTACATCCTCGAAACTGTTGAGATGACAATGTTACCTTCTTTAATGAAAGCTATAAATATAAAGCAAAATAAACAGGTACACATTCCTGATGGGAAAGTAGTCCGCGGAAAAATTTTAATGGTAACAAACTGGTTTACTTTAATTATTTTAAAAGGACATGGTAAAGGTTTATTGGCAGCAGTGCCTGTTCGGCGTCATACAAATGATATACAACCAGATGTATCACCCTATTTTGTTCATGCAAAAATCAGGTGTTACGTAATATTACATTCCAGTCAATCGGATATTATGCCTATTTGTATGATGAAGTCTGCATTTGAATCAAAATATATTGCCGAAACAAAACCAGTTAAAGACACTTTAAAGAGAAAGAAAGTGCAACAGACAAATGACGAACCATCTGTTAAAAAGATAAAGACCGAAGAACCTCAGGAAACTGTTGAAGTTCCATCTAAAAAGAAAAATAGTAAAAAACACATATCGGAAGACATAAACGAAGAAACTTCAAATAAAAAGAAAATTAAACAGAAAAAAGAAAAAGGATCGAAGAAAATTGAAGAAGAGAATGATCTAACAGAAACAAGAATTATTGTAGAAAGATCAAGTGATGGTGATAAAAGAGAAAAGCCCAGGATACCAGAGTGTGGATTCTTCTGGGACGAGAAACCTGATTTGAATCTGCTTAAAAATGAAGAATCGTCTAGCGATAGCGAGGTTGAAACGGAACAGCAACCGAAACAGAAAAAGAAAAAACTAAACGCCGCTGAGCGAAGAGAACAGGAAAAACAGAAAGAACGTGAAATTCGTCAGAGGGAGGAAGCACTCGCCAGTAATACATTGCCAAATTCTGTTGACCAATTTGATAGATTGGTTTTAGCAAGTCCGGACAGTTCAATAATTTGGTTACAATACATGGCATATCATTTACAGACAACAGAAATCGAAAAAGCAAGAGCTGTTGCAAGAAGGGCTGTCAAAACAATCAGCTTTAGGGAAGAGAATGAAAGATTAAATGTATGGAATGCTTGGTTAAATTTAGAATCGAAATTTGGAACACCCGAATCATTGAATGACGTATTCCAAGAGGCAGTGAGGACCAACGATTCATTGAAAGTGTACACGCATATGTTAACAGTGCACTTTGAGGCTGAGAGGCAAAATGAATTAGAAAAAATAATTAACACCATGCTTGGTAAATTTAAGCAGAATCCTGACGTATGGATCAATTGTGGTACGGTGCTGTTAAAAATGGGTTTGAAAGATAAATCAAGGCATATTATGCAAAGGGCACTACAGTCTTTGCCGCCATCACAACGTGAGTATATATACAATAAGACCATTATAAAAATACAATTGTAATTCTAATGCTAATTGTCACGTACAGATGTAAATTTGATGGCAAAGTTTGCGCTTCTGGAGAACAAATTTGGAGATAAACCAAGGTCTCAGACGTTGTTCGAGCAAATCCTGAGTTCTTATCCCAAGCGTGTTGACATATGGTCATGTTACATAGACTCATTAATCAAATCAGAAGACATCGACATTGCAAGGTAAACAACATTCATAACTTTCTTTTATTCACGATGCGACAGAATACTTTCACAAAACTATTGTTGCGTGTAGGAAAGTATTGGAGCGAGCAGTTGTCCAAACGCTACCCCCAAGAAAAATGAAGACTTTGTTTAAGAAGTTCATCAGCTTTGAAGAACAATATGGCACGCGACAGAATATTGATCGTGTTCAGCAGATGGCCGCCGAATACGTAGAGAAACAATGTAACAAGAACTAATCATCTCTAACAACCTAAATTCAAAATAAATTCATTTCACACGTGTACACCTATGAATCATCAAGTTAATGAAATCCAGTTTTACCGTTAACACTGAGTCATAGCATAAAACCATTCTCTATTAACACTAGAACTACCAGATGGGTCAGAATGATCCAGTCCTGATTTCTTTCTACACAATTACTGAGAAGGTACAAATACTTCTTTGAGAAATCGTTAAAGAAGCTGATTTAGTAAAACCTACACTGAAGTATAAACCAATTGAAATCTTAATAAATACACAGTTATAAGTTTTATAAAGAAATTTGGAAAAGTCAGTTTACGTGCTTAGTAGTTCTAGTGTTAATATCAATCAGATCCACCAGAAGAATTCGAAGAACGACAAACGCAGTTCAAATTGAATTTTCCGCGGCGACCGTTATCGCTGATTCGAATGACGCGGGTAGACGGGAAGATGGCAGCACCGACCGGTCGCGGTTCCACCATGGGGAGCCGAAACGGCATTTTGATCTGCGCTAGCGCAGAATGCGGTAGTCGCGGAAGCGATGACTGTCAATGCGGAAATCGGCAACCTTGTAATCGCCATATTGTTTGCACGCACGTTGCGTTAGCGAAATTGTCGAAAGTGGTGTTGATTCCGCGGTGTGTTGCGAGTGTCCGCGCCGTGTTAGAGCACGGAAGAAAGAGAAACCGAGTGTCAGGATAAAGGTAATTCAAATCCGAGTTTATTGCGTTAAGTTTAAGGAGAAGCACGGGCGTGTATCGACGCACGGTGGCGGCTGGTTCAGGATCATGGTTTCTGTTGGCACGCAGCTAGCGTGATCGGCGGTAAACGTGCCCGTAAATCGATCGTGTCCCCCCGAGGTTCTCGTCGCGCGGCTATCTCCTCGTCTCAGCTGCATCGAAAATCTCTCGAGTATTGGTCGCAGTGACGTCACGCCGAAACCTACGAGGGATGGCCTATGCGCCTCTCCTCCCTTTTTTCGCCCGTCTAACGAACCACCGCGAAATATCTCGCGGCCACACGACACGATGATCGTGGAAACTCGCTCGTCGCACGTTGCGAGACCGTTGCGTGTTAGTAAACTTCCGTCAGGACTATCTATCGAGTGAAACCGAATCGCCCACTGTTTCAAAAGCCCGTGAGTATTGTATATCCCATTGTATTATTCGTTCTCTATGAATTACTCGACCGGCTTTTAAGCGCACGCGAATCAGGTGAATCACGATTCCCCGTCGGATTCTTGCGGGAAATAACTTTTGAAACGCGAGAAATGCCAAAGGCCGACCGAAATCGTCGCGTCTTTCTCGTTCGTTCCTTCGTTCTCTTCTGTCTCCTTTCCGCCTCTTCCTTCCCCCCTCCCGCCACTGTCTTCCCTGTCTCTCTTCCTCGTTTCTCTCCCTTCACTCTGGCGTCCGTCTTTTTCTCCCTGGCCTCGTGAGCACGGGGTTAGGTTACGAATCAGAACAGCTCGATAAAAATATTCGAAGTGTCCAGGAACGCTTTCACGTCGCAAAATTCATTTCACGGGTAGCCCGTGAAACGCTTATCGATTCGCACGTCGAATCATTTTAGCCTGCCGCGAGACAAAAGAATTTTATACCCTGCCTCGACGTTCGCAAATTCCTCGCAAGTTTTTGGAAATGCTTCGTTACGACGCAAACTGTGTTCAGTGAGACAATGATCGGAGTGCTAGTGACATTTTTCCATCCAACGGTCAACCGATTGTGGCACTGTGTGTTCTCCAGGTTCCTGGAAGTCGATTTTAGCTAAAAGAAGAATTATTATTTTCCAAGAATTTAGTCGAAGTAAATTCAACGTTTCCCGGAGTTTCCATGTGAACGGATGTCGCACGAAAGAAAGGTGAAAAGTATTTATTAGAGACAACAGGCTGGTCGAGCAGAACGATTTCTAGGCCAGTGGCATAATTATCAGCGGTAGACAATCTCCCTAGGCTTTTCGAATTGCCGAACGCGAATAGCTTCCGTGTTGTGGCGCGCAATTATCGACATAGAACCGTTGAACGGTTCTCGCAAAAATCCGTTGCCAAAACAACGTCATGCAAACGCAGGACGTTTACACGTGAGAACAATAAACAACCGATCGCTCCAACGGCCACGCGACTTTATCG